GGGGTTTTATCTTTGAGGCTAGATTGAGGAGGAGTCTCTCTAAAGTGATTTTGCATTTTATTTTTGCCAGGTTCCCTGAAAGTTTTTTCAGCCCAGGACCACTTTCATGTTAATTTCATTCCTTACCAGGTCTTGGATCATTTGAGCAATGTAAATTCAAATTGCAAATTCCTATGAGGGCAGGCCTGTGGGTTATTAATTTCCCAAGGAATGGTTTTTTTCTTCCCACCAAAAGTGCTGGTCAAAGAGACAACTGTCCTTGTCTTCCTCCTACACCAGTGAGTGGGTTTTTTTCTCATCTTCCCTTCAGGGATCCCAGCTTTAAATAGAGGCCTCAGTTTCAGCTTCCTGCCTTCTGCGGGCCCAAGGCCTCATCTCCTGCGTGGATATTAAGACATAAAGCCTTGGATGACTCAGAGGGAAGCAGATCCTAGGACTCATTCTGCATCATCCCACATACATAGAGTTCTGCTTTTTTAGTTCTAGCTCTGTTTTTGGCACCTGAGAGTTTTTTTCTTATGTTCCGGTGTGAGCTGAGCTGTGCATTGGAAATGGTGTTACTTATATATTTTTTAGGGCTTCTAGACGTTTTGTAGCCAGAGAGTTTTCATAATGGTGCTGAAAACAGAAGTGTTGACTCCTTTATTGACATTATTAAGCACTATAAAACTTTATAATACAAAAGGAGTTGAACCTTACAGCTTTCTTATTTCTAAATGGAGTCATTTCTTGAATATATTCACGTTTAGAAAGATGATCTTGTCATTTCCAGGATTAATCTTTAAAGATCTGTGCACCGTCATCTACCTAAGGGACAGTAATCAATCGTTGGTGCTGAATTTACATTAAAGAATAAAAATATATTAAAAGCACATTATTTATTGTCATTATTTAATAAGTTCCGTAACTGTATAATGGCAGCTTCTCTTTGATCGTAGGCTTAGTGTTGCACCTGTTTTCTGAGGAATGAGGAATAATATGTACGTTGGAAAAAAATGATATGTTTCTTGTTCTGTTAAGACTTAATTGTTTTTTCTTTGCTCTTCTCAGTGAAAAACTACTGAGGTATGATCACTACCTAGTGCCATTCACTCTGTTCGAGTTGGCATTTTTGTATAAAAGCCAAGGGGAAATTGACAAAGCTATAAAGGCCCTAGAAACTGCAAGGTAAGTGATGAAGACAACTTTTCCATGATTTCTGTGGACTCAGGAATATCAATACTGTTGTAACAACATAATATTATACACTTAAAAATTAATTAATGCCGGCCGGGTGCGGTGGCTCACGCCTGTAATCCTAGCACTCTGGGAGGCTGAGGCGGGCTGATTGTTTGAGCTCAGGAGTTCGAAACCAGCCTGAGCAAGAGCGAGACCCCGTCTCTACTGAAAATACAAAGAAATTAATCGGACAACTAAAAATATATAGAAAAAATTAGCCGGGCATGGTGGCGCATGCCTGTAGTCCCAGCTACTTGGGAGGCTGAGGCAGAAGGATCGCTTGAGCCAGGAGTTTGAGGTTGCTGTGAGCTAGGCTGATGCCACGGCATTCTAGCCTGGGCAACAGAGTGAGACTCTGTCTAAAAAAAAAAAAAAAAAAAAAATTAATTAATGCCATGTTAGTAATAATGTTACTTTTGCTAAGTTATGCTTGGTTTATGCTCATGACTTTTGCTATAATTGTGTTGTTTACAACCCTCTTACTGCCTTACTCTATTTACAGATGTGATTGTGGGCATTGATTGGAGAGATTTCTAACTTATTCTGTTCTATATCAGGGATTGGCAAATTATCTGTAAATGGCCAGATAGTACTTTTGACTTTACAGCATAAGGTCTCCATTGCACCTACTCAGTTATATCAAAATCAGCCATAGACAATATTATGTAAATAAATAGATGTGTTCTGGATTTGGCCCTTGGATCATAGTTTGCCAACCTTTGGTATATTCAACCATTTCCATCATTTCCTTGAAGAGCCACTGATCTCATGAAGCTCTCTGATCTTCCCCTGACTCTCTCTTCTTTCTGTCTCCCTTAGCAGTTTCAAAGTATTTTTATCATGACAATGGCTCTTAGACTTGTGATTATGGCTTACTTAGGTGAGGCAAAAACCCTGTGGTCTGTTTGCCTTGAACATTTCCTGCAGTGGAGAAAGAATGCCATATTAGCTCTAGGTCATATGTATCTTAGTGATTGATCAGTTTTTTCATTTATTCAAATTCAGCAAATATTTGCTGAGCACCTATTATTTGCCAGACGCTGGTAAAGGCTCTAGAGGGACTATTGTAAATAGGCAATGTTTCTGTTCACTTAGCTGGGGAGAGATATTAAATAAACAAGAAAAATATCAGTGGTATGTGTTTTGCTGAGATTTACAATATGATGCAGGGTGCCTAGGTGTTACCTTAGATTGGTTTGATTCTAGAAGATTTCTTGAGGAAGTGGTACTGTAGTTGAGATTTGCATAATTAATTCAGTCCTGAGAAGATAAATCACCAAAAGTCACCAGCTAGGTAGGGAGCATTCCTGACAGAAGCCGCAGCTAGGGAGCCTTTAGATTGTGGGGTTGGGCCACTAGGTTGATGATGATGCTTTCCGAGCTGGGGGATGCTTAGAGCAGGTTTGGGGAAAGAAAGATACGTATTTCTGTTTGGACCATCATTCTTTGAGATGGCTATTAGGTAGATGGCGAGTTGGCAGTCAAATATACGAGAGTAGAGTTCATTGGTAAGGTCAGAGCTGGATGTAGAGATTTCAAAGTCACTAGCACAGAGATAGTAAGCTGTGAAGCCATGGTACTTGATGAGGACATTTTGGGAAAGTTATATAGCTGGAGAATGAGGTCTATCACAGTGCTTGGGATATGCCATCTTTTTAGAGATTAAACAATAAGATTAAGAAGATTAAAATCTTACTAATACAGTCAAATTAGGAAGACATCCAGGAAAGCTAATCGAACAGTATTTCAAAAGGAAGAGCATGGTCAGTTATGAGGACAGCTGCTAAGAGGTCAAACAAGGTAAGACCAGAGAAGTGGCTGCTGAATTTGGCAGCATGAAGATCATTGGTAATCTTGACAGTTGAGGTGAGGAAAGAAGTGGAGTCCGCTACTTTAGGCTACTCTTTTAGGGTGTTTGCTGTGAAGAGAGCATAGTGATGGGGCACAAGCTTCAGGGGCATGATAGGGCCAAGAAGGGTTTCTTAAAAAAAAACAAAAAACCTGTCTATCTATATGGGTGGTATGAGCATGTTGCTTTTAAAGTTAATATGTTGGGAGTGAAGATGATTAATATTTCAATTGTGATATATATGTATCTTCAAATCTAGTTACTAGAAAATTATGAACTATAAACACTGTTGCAAATATTCATTATTTGTACTATTCAGTGCTATTCACACAATGTCCAATTAGGCAAATTTATAATGATGAAAATAAAAGACTAGTAATTCACTACCAAAAAGCAATTAAAAGCCACCACCAACTCAAGACAGTATCAATGATGCAAACATAAAGATACATCCCAATAATTTCAAGACTCTCAGTTGTCTGCAGTTTTCCATATGTAGTAGGAGCTTTGTCAAAATCAGTGGCCAGAGATTTAGGAAAATACTCAATTACATCCTTTGGTAAACTCTAGTAAGATGTTGATTTTAGTTCGTGCATAATACATTTGACTATCCCTCATCAAAGTTACCAGTAAGTAGTCCTTAGACCTATGTAAAATGAAGGGCTGCAGAAACACATGCCACTGCAAAGAAAGAGGTGAGAGCCTGCCCGGGGGCCAAGGCAGTATGTGAAAGTGTTTCATTTTGCTGATCCTTAACAATTCTAGTAAAAGGAGGTCAGCATGAGTGATCTAAGTCAGGATTTAACTAATTTTGGTTTTAAATATGGTCCCTTCTGACCTATTATTGTGTAATTATTGACCAAACCACTGATACTTGCATGTGAGAATTGGAATAAGTAATTTTGGTGTCATTAAGTAATCCTGCCATCTTTGTTGCAGTTATTGCTTCATTAGGGTTTCAGGGGTTTTGTTTTTGTTTTTGGTGTGATTGATCATATTCACCATGTTTATATGCACCTGCCTTAAAATTTCCCAATTTAAAACAGGACTAGTAACAGCTCACAAAATTTGTTAGGACCTGCAAATAACCTTGCTGTGTTTGTGAATGATTTGCTAATTAAGTAGAACCTCACTACTCAAAGTATGACCTTTAGATTACCACCAGAAAAATATGAGAGGTACAGACTATTGCTGTCCGTTCCCGCCCCACGGGAACCAGAATTGCATTTTACCCAGATCCACTGTTATGCATATTACAGTTTGAAAGTAAATAAGGAGATTAGAGAGAGGAAGAGAAGAGTGGGGGTGCCCTGGTATACAAAGAAATTTTGACTGTACAATTTCATTATTATTGTCTTCAGGAACAACTACAAAGATTACTCCTTGGAGTCCAGACTACACTTCAGAATTCAGGCAGCTCTTCACCTCTGGAAAAAGCCTTCCTCAGATTGAGCAGAACATGAAGGATGGAATTTTTCCCTGAGTTAGCATCGGCATCTGCTGTATATTAGGCCTTATATTCAAGTGGAAAAATGATCTTGTGAATAAGAGACAAAAAACTGATTTTATTGTCAATATTTTCTATCATCTGAGTAGTTTACTGTTGGTCTACATAATTTTTTTTCCTATGGAATGATGTTCAGTACTATCTAGAAAATTCTTATATTTTGCCTCTCCAAAAAGAATTTCATATTAGATTTGAATTGGCGGGGGGTGAAGAATTCTTTTAAAAGACTTAACAGGTACAATAAAGCCTAATTAGAGCATTTTTTCATATACCTGTTGGTGTTTGAATGTCTTCTTTTGAGAAATGGCTATTCAGATCCTTTTGTCCATTGTCTAATTAGATTATTTATTTTTTTATGTGGAAATTAATATTTAAGTAGCACATAGCTTACAAGTTGAACCAGTTTTAGATTTGTTGGTCATTTAAACTTCAGAGATATTTTGTTGCCTAGTATTTATATTTCAAAGGGGAAATAAACATCACTTAATTTAAAATAGCTTGACAATGACCTTCTGAAGACTTCTGAAAAGGGCAGAGGGCATCAACAGGGATGTGATAATGTACTTTGTAGGTTGAAGAGACCTGTATCTATAAAAGATGATAAAATATTAAGTTATTATTTTTTTACTCTTCATGTTGGTTAAAGGTGGGGACACTTTTGAGAAACTATCCTGTTTTTGAATGTACTCATCTGTTATTACACAATCCAAAAAACCCCTGTGTATCTAAAGGGAAGAAAGTGTCATATTTTAGGAATTATTCTTAACTTTGACGATGAGAGCCTAAGATATATACATTGATTATTTTTCTTATACGAATCAAAGTTCCTGCTGCTTTAAATGATATGTAAAATGTTAATAATTTTTACAGTTAGGATGTTGGTAAGATCTAATTTTCTAGTCTCTCTAGCACTGTGATGGTTCCTTGTAAATATCTGGACTGTACTTAGTCCTTTAATTGGAAGATAGAATGAGGGCACGGAGAGGAAGAGAGCTTGACTCTGTATGGTCCTGGCTTTGCTATGGGTTAGCAGTTAACAGGGTGACCCTTGCGGGGTTCCCTGTTCTGTACGCATCACCATGTTTTACAGATGACTTTCAGGTCTTTTCAGTTTTATAACTGTGAGTCTATATATTAGGTATTTTCCACAAATAATGTTAAAATGTTGAATCAAAAACTATTCCCACGTAGAGTGTGTTTTATTTTTCAATCATCACTGCTTCCCCTGCCCCCCATCTACCCATATGTGTGTGTTGTGGCTAAGGACCAGATCGCATCCAGAGTGAGCAAAAACAATTCTTGAGTTGATAAATCTGGGTTTTGTCCTGTTTCTATTTCTATTTTGAAGAATAACTTGACATAGAAGCCTCTGCAGTTTAACAGAAAGAGCCCCAGAGTAGGAGTCAGGAGATCATCTCTGTCCGTTAATGGTTCCATGACGTGGAATAAGTGACTCACCTTTTCTGGGCTCAGTGTCCCCTGTGTGGGTAGCAACGTAGTATTTGGTTCTTGTGAGGGCTCAGGTAGATAAGGCGTATGATAACTTTCCTGTAAACCATGAAAGGCTATACAAGCGTGAATTATGGTAATAATCATGGTTTTATGCACTGATTATCAACATAAAAGTATTGGCTGAGTCTGTGGTCTCTGTTGCAAAATGCAAGAAGCATGGAAATTCAAATAGCTTTAAATTTTATTCATGTGTTTGGCATTGACAGTGGCCCAAATTATGAATTTGCTCCTTGTTCTTCCCTGCTACACGAGCTTGTGTCCAGCAGTATTTGGTGGTATTTTCTTTAAAGTGCTGATTTTTGGACCAATACTGAGGATATATTTCCAATGAAACATGATTGATATAACTCGAGTCAGAGTACCACCCCTTCGAATAATATGGTGGTAGATATCAATGTGTTATTAATATTATATAACTTTAGGTTCAGACTAAAGAGGAAGTAAAATTAACTGCCATTACAATTAGTAATGGGAAGTATGTTAAAGATTAGTTGTATATAACTTTGGAAAATATTTTATAAAGTCCTTAGAAGAGCTTTGGTAGCATTTTTTAAAGCTTACACACCCATGTTATTACTGTGAGAAGCTGCAAGTCAGAGCTGAAAATAAGTAAAAAAAAAAAAATTCTCTTTTGGGTATAAAATGAAAATTTTAAGAGGGTTTTAAAATTTTATTTTAACTCTGCATTATCAAGTATAAAAGAAGTTCATCTCTTTCATAAAAATTTTTCCTTTGTTACTTTTCTTATTATATTATTACATCCTATTCTTTATATAGTTACCTGGTAATATGGACAATCTATCCAGTGGATTTTTAAGTACTGTAATATCATTAATATTACAAATATTTATGTTTCCTGCCATATTCAAGGTATTTTAGTGGCAACAATCTCTTGTGACATCACTAAAATTGTGGAGTTATTTTTTTGATTTAGGGTGTCCTTGAAGAGTGAGTACTACAGTGAGCGTGTTTTATCTACTGAGGGACATATGTGATGGAGTTGGGTTGCCAATGTGTCTGACAGTGCAATTTGTGTACTTCCTGCTATTAATATAATTGCCTTTTTGTTTAAATGGAGAGACAGGGTTCTGATTGGTGCTTTGTAGGAATGTTGACAAGGAAGGCGTGATTTCCGCTTGACAGTTAATGAAAGATTAAGTATATCAGTTCTTATATGGACATGTGTTTTAATGTGTATGCTGCTGGATACAAGCGGTCCCAAGTTGTAAAGGAAAAAGTTCATTGATTCTCTGTATCCTCAGAGATGAGGATGAGACGAGTGGGTAGAAGCTGTAGGGAGGTGAATTTCAGATTAATAAGAATCAAGGAAGATTTTCATCATTGGAACAATCCAACAGTATAACTAGTTCTTTTGCAAAGGGATGAATTCAGCAAGCCTACATGACTGTCATTCCTGCTTGTCCAAGAAGCTTGGACCAGTTGAACTTTGATGTCACTCTGCTTCTTAGATCAGGGCTCAAATCAGTGTGTAAAGAGGAAAGTGTCCTCTCCTTTCCAAATAAAAGTGAGTGTTTTCTCCTTTGAAGCTACTATTTGAGGTGGTTGTGATAGATACTAACAGTCCCTGCTGTTAATATTCATTATGATTCTACTTCTTAACCATTACTTTAAAGTGAGTCTGTTGATCTTTGTGAATAGGGGTTTTTCCCCTCTCCTTGGACATTAAAAATAATTTTTCAAGAGGTCTTTGTGACCAACTGGAAAAATTTCTGGAATTACTCTGATTAATTCTTCATTGATTTTCCCACCCCCCGTATTTCTGTTTTTTTGTTTTTTTTGTTGTTTTTTTTTTTGCTAGTTGTACTCTATATTTAGAAATTTTAAATTCAAGTACGGTTAGGTAAAATGAGTTAACAAAGACTCCAGTGATCGTCTTGATACCCTAAGATTTTGTGATTCATTGGGCCTGGAATGGATCTTAGGAAATTATCTTGTCTTCTGCAGCCTCTAAAGAGTGTTGTTTCTCCTTCCTGCTCCTCCTCCTGTTTCTCCAGTCCTGCTCTGTCCAGCACATGTGGCTACTGAGGTCGTCATGGCCAGGGCACTTGTTGGAATGATGCCAAAAGTCAAGGGACTTTCGTTCATACATGCTGCACTCATTTAAAGGCCTCCCAGTATCCTGCTTCCTGGAGTTCTGGCTTTTACTTGCTGTCTTCTATGATCACTGGATTTGTGCTTAAAATACCTCTCTGTGAAGTTCGCTTTTTCTGTTTAAGTGCCCTTAAACTTTCATGTCATCATGTTTATTGTGCGGATGACCAAAGTCATTGGCATTTTTGAACATTATTTTGCCTACCCCACTGAGCTCTTTGTATGTTAATACCAGACTAAGACACTTTATTTTTGAGATTACTATTTTATTTTATTGATATTCTTTGCTTGTTCACAAAGTACAACTGTTAGAGTTGTAGAGGCTTGATTCTCCCCTTTGAGATGTTCGTAGATTTAATTAGTAATATTTTCTAAGATAACATTCTGAAAAATTTAGTGAAACCTTTTCAATCTCTTTGTTATCAATGTTTCAACATTGACCCTCTCAACTAGCCTAGTGTTACTATGTAAAGGTTTTTAGACACATTACCCATTTAGAGAATAATTCGGTAGGTAGTTTATTTAAAGTTATATATATTATGCCTTTTGCTGCCTATTAATATTTTTGAATGTGTATCGTACCTAGGTAATATGTATAAATATGTTTAAGATATTTTTAATCTCTTTAGACATTTCTTGATCAGATATATCTATCTATAAATAAATATATATGTAAAACAACTTAGAGATATTAAATAGACCATGTTTTATGCTTTTCCTTCAGAAGATGTATGGGATTTTCCCCAGGTTGTTCTCCCTCCCCCAGTCCAATTGTTGACATTTTTTTTCTTTAATTGTTAGATTGCTTGTTGTAAAACGCTATTCCTGCTTCCCATTTGGTAGTTTTGTCTTTTGTACATTTGCTGTTAGATTTAGTTATTTAGAAGGTTCAACTTGAAGTGTAATGAAAAGGACACATCAGAATTTATCACCAGGAAAAATACCTTTTGTGTTGAGCTGTTGCTATCTGATCTTGACGGTTAGACCCTCTTCTTAAGAGGAGACTGTCGAAGTCCATTCTGATCTGTTTATAACTTCATAACTACAGAAGGAAATGGTGCAAGGACTGTTGAGTGGACTGAGATGCCTGAGCAGGTTCTTGGCCTGAATCGTCCGGAAGGGTTATGTGGATCCAGCGGCAGAGGAAGTCCAAGCCTGATTCCCTCCTGTTGACAGTGTACTCATGACATATGTTAAGCACAGTGATACTGTAACAGGACTTTGCATGGAAAAATCAAAGTAGCTGCCTCACTGTACTTAACTAATGAAGAATGCCTACAGATGTCTGAAGATTGGATATTTAATAGGGAAGGTCAAGGGACTCTAATAACAAACTTCATTAAGTGAAACTTGAATATTAACATACAATGCACCTTGTTTGTTAATCCAATAGTTCTAGAAACAGTAATTTAAATGAAGA